AGTACCGATTGCTTCAGTTAATTATCTAAGGAAAGATTCAGGGCAAACGAAGCGAGGGAAGACGACGTATATCTTGGCTGCGCAATTTAAGAGACTGGTTCCAGTGCACATCTAACCAATTATTTAGAGCAACAGCTTTAAAGATACAAATAACAATGATGATTGACAAACTCTGTAGCGGAGAGGGCACTTGAAGAAGACAGAAGCAAATGATGAAGAGCTAAGCGGTATAGGGCACGCTTCAAAAGTCGTCATGAATTTGATGGAGGGTTTATTAGATAATGGACATGCTTTATATATGGATAATTACTACAACAGCTGTGCGCTTTCTGCTAGTCTTCTCAATAGAAAAACTTATAGCGCTTCGACGTTAGGGATCAACTTAAAAGATAATCCTCGATAAGTTTCGAATAAGAAGTAAAAAAAAGGAGAAAATGTGTCTTTATTCGTAGATGGGGTATATGGGGGTAAGTAGAAGGACAAGCGCGAGGAAATGTATATAATTTCACAATATGAAGACTAATTTTAAGTATTTATCAACAAAAGAGGGCAAGAAGTTCGAAAACCTATGACTATTATAGAATATAAGAAGTAAATGTCCGGAACTGATCATCAACATGAACTGTTATCGTACTACCAGCGTAAAAGGAAAACCATCAGATGGTATAAAAAAACTCTTTCTTCATACAGTCCAAATTCATATGCTGAATGCCCTAAAACTGTATAATACATACTCTGACGAGAAAAAAATGCCTTTGTACGATTTTCAGCTATGCATAATAAATGGGCTATTACCAATATAACCATTACTTGAAATTGCTTCTAAACGTACACAACCAAGCCCCACACTTAGTAAGATAACTAAAACATACAAAGATAAAAACAATTACAATAGAATAAAGCCCAAAAGGGGTAGCCAATGCACCAAAGACGGAAAAGGACGAAAACGCATCAGTTTCCAGTGCAACAAATGCGATGAAAAACCAAGACTCTGTTCAGAATGTTTTAACAAATATCTTAGTTTGCAATATATGTTTTTTTAAGTATCTGTAGAGTAGTGAGGGCGGGAAGTTTCACAGCACTTAGGTCACAATTAACCCATTGTGCATCCTCTCAGGAAGCTGTCGTTCTTAGCTCATTGTCCATTCTGCCATTTCTAGGAGGGTTCACAAGAAGTCACCTGGATACATCTCCCTTATGTGGGCAGGTGTGGGACAGGACTCGCTGAACGCGTGCTCTCCTAATAACAATAACTCTGGGAATTCACATGGGACATGCTCTACAGTTTCGTCTTCTCGTTCATCCTTTCTACATAGAGGTGTATTTACTAACCCCAGTGTCTAAAGGTGTTGGCTTAGTTGACAATGACCAGTTAAAAAATCAACTGTCAAGCGTAGGTTTTTCCTGTTCACTTTCAAGTACTTCTTTAATGCTGACTTTTCAAGGTTACTTAGTATTACCATGGCAAGTCTATATCTTTGCTCTTCTTCTTATCTTTTTACGGTTTGCGTATGTTTTTAGTTTGTTCTTTATTTTAGTACTCTTTTATTGATCACGTATCCTTAATTCTATCAGTTGGTCATGTTCATTTCCAGGTAACTGTCTTTTAGAGGCATGCAAATTAGCCCAATCGTTTCTTATTTGAATTGGTCATCCTCTAACATAGTAGACTAACCAAGCGGCAATAATTCTTACAATATTGTGTTGTGAGCACATCTTTTCCATTTTTGTTACATTTGCCAACCTCCTTTCTTGTTAAATCGGTGCTTACCATAGAAGCCCACATATATAATTTTTGTTGGAATTTTTGTAACATTGCTAAGAATAAACATTGCTGTTTATTGATGTTTATTCTTAGCTCCAGCTTCAGGCTGAGGTGAACGTTTTGGTCCAGCCTCTGGTTGGGCCGAAATTGGAGGTAAACAACAATCCTCAACTGCGACTTCAGGCTGAGGTGAACGTCTTGGTTCAGCCTCGGAATTTGGTTTTGGTATTTGGTTTTTTTGTTGTACATTTATGTCGTTTCCACGGTAGCTAGGGAGAGGTTGGTAGCCCTGGCAGAGCCCTGCCTTATCAGGGCAAGACTTTATACAATTGGGTTTGCCTGGTCTCGTAGGGAGATCGTTCTCAATCACAAATAACCCTGTATCCATACAGTCATCGGCTTGATTACCTCACACCTTAGCTTCGGTAGGCTGCTTCTTGGTAGACGAAGCAGTTTATCCAGTTTTAGTCTCTCGACTACCTGAGAGAGATTCTCAAATACTCTAGAGCGCTAAGTGGCGATAAGAACTCTTTTAGCGTGGTCGATTCACATTCATCAGGCCTAGCCCGTTTATAGAGAGTACCTTTCTTATTTGTATAAGACACCTTATGGGGTCGCTGGCTTCTGACTATATTATTTAGGAAAAATTTGTGGTCGGTCAGTGACGCTAACCACTTAAGTGGACGATTTTTTTCCTCCTCTGAAGTCTGTTTCCACAAATGCTTTACTTACCATAAAAAGTTTTATTTATTTGTTATATGCCCGTCAAATAAAGTAAAGTAAAAATGTATTCTGGCCTCTGACGACCGATATCTACTTTTGTCACGACTGCGAATGGGTTAATTTAACCCGTCATTGTTCGCGTATCCGAAAACGACACGATTGTTCTCGTATGACACGTATAAGCGCTGCGCTCAGTCGCCATTTTCTTTTCATTTAATTATATTTCATTAAGATATTCAATAATTAAACTTTGAAAATAAGGCTATTATCGAGCACAAGTTAACTAAATCTAGCCCAAGTACTTTCGCTTAAAATAGCATCTTCAGGGGCATTTCGTCAAAATGTAAACTATCCGGCAAGCGTAGAATGTGAAAACATTAAAAATAACATCAAATTGTACAAAACACTACACTAAAACGAGGAGAAACAGTTTAAAATTACTTGAAGATTCTACGCTATATTCTCTGTCAGTATCTGGAGGGATAATCTCTCCAATAATCATTATCCCTCCAGATACTGACAGAGAATGTAGCGTAGAATCTTTAAGTAATTTTAAACTGTTTGTCCTCGTTTTAGTGTAGTGTTTTGTACAATTTTATGTTATTTTTAATGTTTCCACATTCTACGCTTGCCGGATAGTTTACATTTTGACGAATTGCCCCTGAAGATGCTATTTTAAGAAAAAGTACTTGGGCTAGATTTAATTAACTTGTGCTCGATAATAGCCTTATTTTCAAAGTTCATTTATTCGAGCATTCAACCTCATTTCATTTATTCAATAATTAACGAAACGTAGTCGGTTGCTGGTTTTTTAAAAATTTTATTAATGATAAATAACATGAATGTATGTACTTTTTATTAATGAAATAATACATATAGAAAAAATTGTATAACAACAGAAATGTAAACACTTTATTCACTCTCGTAGCATTTATTGTGACATATTTGACATATTGTAATTATATTTTTACCACAAATAGGTTTTGAACAATCTGCACATATTGAAGTGTTTTTTCTATTTTACTTCGAGGACAGTAAAAACATTGGACTCTATCTTTAGTTTCTGCACTTGCTACTGAAGTTTTTTCATCAGGAAGATCTGCTTAGCGCCTTATTTAAAGTCGTAGTAATATTGGCAATGTTGTTATTGATGCACGGCTTATCAGGTGGGGTCTAATGAGATCTGTACTAATTTCTCTTAGATATTTACGGCGTTCCAATTTAGTATTACTATAAGTAATACTAAATTGGAAGTGACCATGGGCAACTTATTCGAGAAACAGGGTAATTACATTTCATCTGGTCCACAACATCCACTGCTTCCTTTGTCGTATTGTAGAAGGTTATAACCTGCGACTTAAAGTTTTTACCCGTTTCTTGATCAATTGTGTCATCATTATGAAACGTAGACAATATCAGAACAGTTTTGTTTTTCTTGGAAACGTATGATAGTAAAAGTCTTTATCATAACAAAAAATGCTGCTGTTTAGTGGTCTTCCTTTTGTAACTACAAGAAGAGGACGCTTTTCTTGTCTTCCCTTGGCCTCCATTCCAATAACCTCTTTGTCCATCGCCCATCTGTCATTCTGGCTATGAGTCCTACCCATCTCCATTTTAGTCTGGCTATCTTCTCGATGATGTCAGTCACTTCGGTTCTTCTCCTAATGTCTTCGTTGGTTATTCTGTCTCGCAGAGTTATTCCTAACATGGACCGCTCCATTCTTCTCTGCGTGACTCTCAGTTTGGTAGCTGCTGCTTTTGTTAAGGTAAGTGTTTCTGCTCCGTACGTCAAGACTGGGAGGACGCACTGATCAAATACCTAATAACCTAATAATAATACCTAATAAATATTTAGTGGTGCGGTATTTATGCTTACCGGCAATGTTTTTATACGTAAGTGCCTTCTACATAGTACCATTAGAGATTACAATGAGTCTAAATGACAGTTGTTTTCAGAATACTTTCGCTGCCTTAAAAATAGTTCCAACTGAGCGCTGCGCTCACCACGCGCACAATGACGGGTTAAAACAACGTCCACACTGCATATGTATAAAATAACAGGAAAGCGTTTATATTAATCTGAACGATAGGTTCAATAAAAAAACAAAGGATAGAATAGCTAAGATGTGCAATGCAAATAGAACATAACAGAAAAAATAAAGAAGTATAGATATTTAAGTACAACTAGCGTTAATAAAAAATCGTGTATAATGATCATAACGTTAAAGAGAGAACACCCCAGAATTGCTGAATAGGCTAAATTTCAAAAAGTTTTTAAATTTTAAAAAAGAAGAGAAAACAATTATTAAACCTAATATTTGACTAAGAAAGTTTGGAAGTTTTTAAAATTTTGTTAGTGAAATGAATATCAACAAATATACGGCAACATTGTTTTTAATATCATTTAATTTTTGTTTGAAACTACAATAATTTTGAATGTGGAAAAAGAAACTACCTATTCCACTGATAACGAAAAGTTGATATAAAAAGGTTTTAACGAGGTTGACAAGAAACCGGTCGGTCGAATGAACTTTTAACGCCAGCGATTTTCAAATTCATTCTTAGTTATCCTTTGACCGTCAAATTGGAAAGATGCGTTGCGGTGTAATCGTTTTAATAATTGCATCCATTTTTGGATGTAATGCTGACAACTTGAATAGCGTTGTTCAAGGCAATGATGAATTTACAGCAAATACATACAAGGTAAAATAGTTTATACTATTTAAATATAATATTTGTTTAATATCGATTTACTCTTTTGACGTTTTTTGACATTAAAAAGTGGCAAAAAACGACATTTTTTTTTAATTGAATTGGTATTCTTATACATTACCAAAATAAAGTTAAAACTTTACTATTTAAGTCGCTGATTTAATCCTTTTGAACCAATATTTTGGATTTTATGTACTTTTTTCAGTTGTTAATTCACTTATAATATTTAATCTTTTAAAGTCAACTAAATTCTTCTTACTTAGGTACCGGTAGATTTCTTTGTTGGATGATATATTGCCTGATGTAACTTTTCTTCTTGGCTTGAAGTTATATTTCTGGAATAATTGGGATAATTATTTTTTACTTTAAATTTGACTCAATCAATTATTCAACTTATTTTACCGGTGATTAGAAATCTTAAAGTATTTAAACGTGTTTTGACTAAATATCTTTTTTTTTTATTTGATATATTTTTAGTTTAGCTGAATTTTTATAAGCGGTTGAATGGTCTTAGTAGGCGAGAGGTTTGCCCATATAAAGAAGGTTAGAAACCAAACATGCCGACAAATTATTTCTTTTGCATTTCTAGCACGCCAAATCTTTTTTATTTAATTTTTCAAGTTAAAATGTGATTTTTTAAAAAAAATTTCAAGTGGGCCGAAAATTGTAACAAATAATTTACAACAAAAGAACAATTTCCCGAATCGTTCAAGTAAAATTTTTTTAGGCATATCGAAATACTTTTTCTTCCGGTAATTTTTAGAAAAATGCTTTCTTTTTAAGTTATTTGCAATGTTTTGTGAAAAAAAATCCTTAATTGGTGATTTTTTTTGGGTTTTTTTTTTTTAAATCTATTAAATGTGTATTACTACAAAAAGCACTGAAACATTGACGTATAAGTACGAATATTTCGACAAGGATAGGTTTTTATCTTGATAAAAATATAGTTTTAAATTTAAATAAAGATTTTACACACCACGCGACTGTATCGCTGCAACCGTACACACTTCACGATAGATAGCTCGAAATGCATTTTCGAAATATTTAGTTCCATGTTTTCACAAGATAAAATCCATTTCCTTGTTAAAATATTTTTACGTATACTTGAGGTTTCAAAGAATATAAAGAGCTTTTATAGATTTGCAGTTTAGGTAGTAGTTTCTTAGAAAAAAAAGCCCAAAATCTACCTAAAGGATTTTTTCAACAAATACCTGCTTTGAAAAGGAAGCATTTTTTGAAAAAAAAAACACAAGATAGAAAAAGTATTTAGTTCGATGACATACGCCTAAAAATATTTTACTCGAAACGATTCGGAAAATTGTTTTTTGTGAAAGGTACGTTATTTGTTAACAATTTCCGGCCCATTTAAAAAAATGAAAAAAAAAAAATACATTTGAACATGAACAAAAATATAAAATTAAATAAAAAAGATTTGGTGTGTTGTAAATTAAAAAAAAAATAGTCGGTATATGCTCTGCTTATAGGGGTAAACTCCTCTCCTATAACTGTAGACTGGTTACCATGCAGGACAGAAAGCGGAGTTAGGGACCTGGCACCGGCGAAAATTTTTTAATATTTTAAAAATATCTAGGCCTAGTCGACATAGCCTAAATCAAATAAGTCATTATGATCAATCTGTATGTGTCCACTGCTGGACATAGATCTTCCTCAGGTCTTTTCATCTATCTCAGTTAGGTGCAGCTTGCATCCGGTTATTGCTAACACGGTTCAGGGCGTGAGTCTATCTAGTTGGAGGGCGTCATCTGCTCCGTAATGCTTCTTGTCTTGGTTTTCAGCCGACAATACGTTTTGTGCATCGGTTGTCTGATAATGTGGAGAAGTGTCCTGTCCAATTTCATTTTAGCGACGCGATTTTTTTGATGGCCTGTTGAATGAATCTTAGACTAGATTTAGAGAAGTGGCCTTTTGGCCTATTCTACTTTGACCTTTTTATATCTATTGTGGTCCTCTAGTCCTAGATAGCATTCTCTAGCCTGACTATTTTTTATAAAGTCTAGTAGCTTCGAAACTGTACCTTCCATGTAGCTCTTTGCCGGTAAATTTTCTTCTCCTAATGCAAAGAACCGCACATTTCCCATACTGTCACACTGTTATACATAAAATATGCTCTGCTGTTTCTTCTTCGAGGTGACAAAATCTGCACAGGTCATCATCTGATAATCCAATTAGCTTTAAGTGCTTATTCAGCTTACAGTGCCATGTTAGAAGACCTACTAAGGCTTTGACTGTGTGTCCTGTCTTTGCTTATTAGGTCTGCCGTAAATTTTGCCAAATGTTCTGTAATGAACTGTTTCGCTTGTCTTTGTCCTGATGAATTCCTCCACCATTCCAGAGATTTGTAAGCTACCCACTGCCTTATAGCCATTCTGGTTACTGACTTTGCTACGTTGCAGTAGGGTTAAAGTCCAATGAATGTCATTGATGAAAATTTCATCTGATTTTCATTGCCCTTATGACCCTCGTGCCCTGGTACCCAGGCTACCTTAACCTTACTACGGTCTTCTAGTTTATTTAGGGCACACACGCAATCCCATACTAGATTAGAATTGACCTCTACAGAATTAAGTGCCTTAAGCGCTGCCTGACTATCTGTTAACATAGCAACTGAACAGAACGTTCTTTCCTGTCTTTCTATTTCTTTCACGCAGTTATGGGTTATTCATCGATAATATCGTTAGGCGTTATTTCCGCCTGGAAAACTGTCACATCCTTAGATAGACGTACTGGGAAATTTGTCCTTGTTTTGTCCCTACTATGCCGGCTCCCACACCCTCCGATATTTTTGAGCCATCCGTGTACCAGGTAGCAGCAGCTTGTATGGGTAGACCTTTATTCTAGTCTTCCCTGTCTGGTATTTTAATTCTGAACTTATTGTTAAAGCATATGTCGTAGCTGTTGCGTCGATAGGTTTCCCCATCACAATATCGGCTTTTAGCTCCTCGATTAGCTTTCTGTTGTCAGTACCATGCTTCTGGCTTATATGTCGCTACTGTGACATAGTAGCTTTCTGTGTGGTTTTTAGAATGTGAGCATTTCATGTAAGCCTACACGCGAATCTTATTCACTACCTTTTTTGTGAGTGTTAACGTTTAACCTGGCCTTATGCGATGTTCTAGCTCACATATCTGTTTATCTCTGCCCAACCGAATTTCATGTGCTAAGTACTTGTAAGTATACGATGCAGTATATAATAGCAGTATACAATATTCCATATAAAATAAGTACTTTGGATAAAATTATGGGTTATATGAGTAATAGGCGGCTGAGTAGGCCTTTTTCCCATACCGAAGTGATGAAGTATATAACATTTTATGTATTTTCACAATATTTCCTAAACGTTTTTAAAAGCGAATGAAAATAAAATAATAGAAATGGAAAAATCCAATTTGTTCTTGCATTTTTTTAACTATATTATTTTGGGATTAATGTATTATATACTATTATATATTCATCTATTACTAATTTAATTTGGGCGTGTCATTGTTCTTTAAATGCTTTATCAATTGATCGTAGAACTACGTACACATAATTTTATTCCTTTTAGTTATTTTTGGCACCATAACGTCTAGACTGTATTCGATTTCGTGGTCAAATGAGAAATTTTTTATGTTTATTTTAGTTTTAAACCAGTTTAATTCGTGTTTTTATTAGAAACCAGTATGTTTTATTTAGTACTTTTCTTGATTTGGTTTTAATTATATATGTGATGTTGTGTTAAAAATTAATGCTTTTAACAATTTGGCTTCCACCGGAATCTATAGAAACCCAATAAGTTGCTATTATTGCAGTAGCTAATGGTACTAATGGAAATCTCTCCCACTCTCTTTCTATCCACTCCTAAATGTAGTTCTCTACCAATTGCTTCCATCTTTCTATATCTTTCGCCAATCTAATCCACTGTTGCCTGCCACTGCTCTTATGTCATCTACCCATCTTTTTTGAAGTCTTCCCATGCTTCTTGTTCTCGTCCTTGGTCTCCATTCTAGAATTCTCCATGTCCACCTGTTGTCATTATATCGTGCTACGTGACCTGCCCAGCGCCATTTCATTTTTGTAATTTCTTCCACAATATTCCTAATATTCGTTCTACGTCTTATCTCGGTGTTTCTAATCTTGTCTCTCAGTGATATTCCAAGCATGATTCGTTCCATTGCTCTTTGCGTTGTTTCTAATTTATTAGCAGATTTTTTGGTAAGGGCTACTGTCTCCAAGCCGTAGGTACAAATTGGTAGTATGAATGTGTTATACAGCTTTTTCTTTAAGTTTACAGGAATGGAGGTGTTTTGCAAGATATATGGTAGTTTTCCGAAAGTACCCCATGTCAGTTGTGTTCTTCTTATAATTTCAGCATCTTGATTTGGTTTTCCTAGTTTGATGACATAACGTAGATATACATATTATTCGACATTTTCTACGGTATTATTTTGTATTGTTGTATTTGTCTGGTCTCGGTTCAGTATTTTTGTTTTACTGTAGTTCATTTTTAAGCCTACGGCTTCAGAAACTGTATTTAATTGTTATAACATACCATTTAGTTCTTGAATATTATCGGCTATTAAAACTATATCATCTGCGATCTCAAGTGGTTTAAGTATGATCCGTCGACGTTGATACCCTTGTTGTTCCATCCTAGTTTCTTAACAATGTCTTCTAGAGCAAGAGTAAATAGTTTGGGAGAGATGGTGTCTCCTTGTCTTACTCCCCGTTGTAATCTTATGGGATTAGTTTTTGTGCTTTCGTCCAGCTTTATCTGCATGGTGGCCTTTTCATATATGTTTTAAATTATGTTAGTGTATCTTGAATCTATACGTGCATTTTCTTGAGATTCGAGCACTGCCCATAATTCCATGGAATCGAATGCTTTATGGAAATCGACGAACGCCATATAAATTGGAACATTACACTCGGTTCATTTTTCTATCAGTGTTCTTACGATCTGGTCTGCAAGTAGTCTATGGTACTAAACTGTT